TGAGCGGCGGCGGCATAACTAAAATCCTTCCAACGTCTTTAACTGCCTACCTTCCAACAGAATTCCACATGGAGGGATTGAACCAGATGGAGAATGTGAGCAGAGGGTGTTTAAGAGCAGGGATGTAAGAGTAGGTGAAAGATCACAGGGGGTGAGCACAAGGACGATAATTAGAAGGAGAGTTGAATGCACGGGATGAGCAACGAGGGGTGATGACAGGTGGCTGAGCACAGCGGGTGGGTTGAGAAGGCTATGCACAGGGAGGGGGATTAGAAAAGTGGTGCTATCACAGATATTGTGAGTAAAAGCTGCTGAGCAGCGGTAAGCACGTGGGGCTGAGTAGAGGGAGGGTTTGAACTCGGAGGCGCACACTGTGGTGCCCGCAAATCGCAGGGTAACACTTAGGACGACGACAGAGGTGGAGACCAGTGTACAAAGTGCGAGCACAGTGAATGGTTTAAACAAGTGTGTTGATCACCTTGGGTTAGCGCAGAGTGGCATGAAACAAGGGAGTGAGTACAGGGAAATTGCGCGCAGTCAGACCAGCACAGGGGTTGAGTACGTGGGGTGCAGTGGATGAGCACAGGGGTGAGCACAAGGTGTGGAGCATACGTGTTAGTGCAGGGTCATCAGCAGTTGGGGTCGGGGGGCGTACCTGGCGCGACCACAGGAGTTTGAGCACAAAGGGAGTGTTCACGGGGGATTGATCACCGGGGGTTTGGCATAGAGGCATCCGCAGAGGGGTGTGAGCAAAATGTCTGAGCACAGTGGTTGAGGTGCACAATGTTGGATCACAAGGTGTTGGTGAAAATCGGTCGTAGCATCAGGCAGGTAAGCAGGGAATTAAAGTACGGGTGAGTACAGTGGAGGTCAGCAATCTGGGGTGAGTAAGGGTTTGCAGAGTGGGCAGTGACAATTGGGGAGAGCACAGTTGAATGTGCACATGGGAGGTGAGGTCCAAGGCGGCTGAAAGTAGCGGCGTGAATACAGAGTGAGGTGATTAGAAGATACGAGCACAGCGTGTTGACCACAGTGGGGATGAGCACAGGCAGAAGACCACAGGGAGAAGCGCAATGGGTAGTCTGTGAACATGGAGATGAGCCCATGTTTGTGGTGAGCAAACTGTGATGAGCATAGAGTGAGATCATTGAGGGGTCCGCACAGAGCTCTGAACAAAGGGAATTGAGCACAGGGTGGGGTGGGTGTGGGAGGGTGTGGAATGCTGAACATAGGGGGCTGAGCACAGGGAATTGAGCAGGAGAATGGGAACAAAAGGTGAGAACAGAGGTAAAGAAAGACGTTTGTTTAGTACAGTGCGGTGAGAACATTATGCGGCAACTCAAGGCTTGAGCACAGGGGGCTCAGCAAAAATGGCACACGTGTATGGTGTTGAGCTTCCGGGGAAGCACATGTGAGATGAGCACTAGGCGGTGAGATCAGGGATTGAGCACAAAGAGGGTTGCGTTCTTTGGGAAGAGCAATTGGGTATGTGGTGGGGAGAAGGGAGGTTGGGCACAGGTGTGGGCACATGAGGGAGCAATGGCGTTTACACAAGGGAGCCGTTACCACACGGAATTGAGTTAAGTGGGATGCGATCACACCGGCATGAGCACAGGGGGCTGAGTACAAGGTGGAGAGCACAAGGGTGTAAGCACAGGGTGGTGATCGCAGTAGAGTTATCACAGTGTTGAGCACAGTGGAGGGCCCAGGTAGTGAGCAAACGGTGCTCAAGTGCACAGGATGATAAGCAGAGATTGCTAGGGGCTACACATTTGGGTGGTCCTTGTCGGGAGCACAGATGGTTTACAAAAATTGGGTGAGCATAGAAGTGGTGAGCACAGTCGGGTGTTGAATAAGCCCAGGGTTGGAGCACAGAGGGTTGAGCACAGGGCCCTGAACACAGGGGTAAAGCTGAGCACAGCGTTTGAGCAAAGTGTGGGCGAGTTACATAACGGAGGTGAGCAAAGTAGTTTGGGCAAAAGGGAAGAGCAGAGGGTTGACTTGTGCATGGGGAGTGCGTGGGGGCGAGCACAGGAAATTGTGTACATTGGGGCTGATATCAGGGTTCTGAGAATGCGAGGTATGAGCAAATAGTGGTGAGCACATTGTGGATAATACAGTGGGGACAGCAAGATGTTGTTAAGCACAGGGGGATGAAAACGAATGGGGAAGTACGGAGGGGAGCACGAGTGGGCGAGTGGTTGAGCTTCAAAGCTAGAAGAGGGCGGGGTGAGATCTAGTCGGTGAGTAAAGGGATTGAGCTCCTTGGTTAAAATTCAGTGAGGGGAGCAACGGCGGGTAAAATAAATCAGTGTAAGCACAGAGAAGTGAGCACAGTCGGGGCGATCACAAGTGCTGTGCATAGTGCGAGGGCACAGGGGTATGAGCATAGGGCAGGGGATTACGCTCAGAAGGGCAGCCGAGTATTGAAACACAGAACATTGAGCGCAGGTGGAAGAGCACAAGAGTAGAAAGAACAGCGTATAAGCTGAGCGCAGGTGTGAAGCATAGGGTTTGGGCAAAGTGCAGGGTGAGAACAGTGGGGGGTGACAACGGGGCAGGTGTGAGCACAGGGGTATGAGCGCAGGAAGGTGTGATTGAGTTTTGGGCAGTAAACACAGTGGGGCGGGGGGAAGCGTGCTGAGCACAGGGGAAACCACAGGATCTGAACACAGGAGGGGTGTGTCAGGGTGGTGTAAACAGCGGGTAAGCAAAATGGGGAGGGAAGGGTGTAGGCGAAGAACAGAGGTTGAGTGGAAGGGGGATAAGCAAATGTTTGTGGTGATCAAAGGGGAGTGATCACAGAGGATGAACAAAAGAGAGCCAGCTTGGTTGAGGTGGAAGCATATGGGGATTCATCAATTGGCGGAAGGGTGTGAGATGAGCAGAGAGTCTGGGGATAGGGATGTGAGCACAGTGCGTTGAGTGCAGGGGGTAAAATCTGAACAGAGGGAGGTAAGGGCATTGGTTCTTGCACAGTGGGTGAGCACAGGGAGGTGAGCATTTGAGACCAAATTTTGGGAGGACAGGCGGGTGAGAACTGGGGTTTTAAGAAAAGAGGAAGCGCAATTGGAGCGATCACATGGGCGGGAGATGATAAGCGTGATCACACGTGAGAGCAATGGGAAGGAACACAAGGAGAGATCTAAGTGGGGCGCACACTGCGCCGAGCGAAAGGGGTTGAGCAAAAGAGTTGAGTTCAGTGGTTGAGAACAGGCGTCGCACAAGGGGATGATCACAGAGCGCAGTTAAACAGAAATGTGATCACAGGGTTCAGGAACAGAGCGCACACATTGGGGTGAGCACAGCGGTGGGTGTGAGGGGTTGGTGACCACAGGTGATTGAACAGAAGAAGTTGAGCACAGGGTGAGTGCAAGGTGTGGGGATCACAGAGTGGTGTGAGCAAGAGGATGAGCACAGGGTCTGATCCCAGGGCGGGGGGCACAGTGGGGTGTGAGTGCATGGAATGTGAGAACAGGACTTGAGCACCGGTGGGTGATAACAGTTGTGTGAACACAGGTTTGTGAACAGTGCGGTGAGCAAATGGAGGGCAAACACGGGGAAGTGGGTGGGTTGGGAAACACAGGAGTGTGAGCTCAGGCGCGGGAGCGCATGATAGAAGGATGAGGAAAGTGGAATGAACAAAGTCGCGTAAGATCACGGTACGGAGCGCAGGCAGGTGTGTGTTTTGAGCACAGGTTATTCAGCAAAGTACGTTTAGCCGAGGGGTGATAGCACACAGCGGTGAGCGCAGTGCGGTGTACACGGGGAGTGGTGCAGAGAGCAGGGAGCACAGTCGGCTGTTCAGCAAAGCGAGTGAGCCCAGTGCGAGGTGAGCACAGAAGTGTTATTCCAGGATCGGGTGTAAAGAGAAAAGGGTAAGCACAGGGAGCAGATCAATGCGCGGCGAGCACTAGTGGGCGAGCGTAATGAGGGCAGAGGGGTGTGAGCAAATTTGGGGTGAGTGTCCATCTGGTTGACAAAAGAGTGTTGAGCAAAGGGGTGAGAGAACAGTGGGTTGAGAACAGTCGGAGTGAGGTCACGCGATGTTATGTGTGTCTGATCACACGGTGAAGCGAATACAGCAGATGAACACACTGTGGCAGTGAGTATAGCGTATGTGGTGCTCACAGGAGGTAGAAAAGTGTGGGTGTTGAGCACATGTGGATAATCAAAAAAGAGGATAGCAAAGGGGTTGAGCACAGGTTAGGGATGAGCAAACTAGGGAGTACAGTGTGGGCTGTGAGCACAGGGAGGCGTGAACACAAATGCGGGAGCACAGGGGCTGTCAGCACAGAGCGATAAGAACAAGGGCTGAGCGCATGGACGGGTGAGAAAAGGGGGTGCACAATCGGGTTGAGAATAAGGGGTAAAGACAAGGAGATGAGCACAGTACAGGAAGAGGAAAGAGGGCTAATTACAGGGGGATGAGCATAGAGTGGCGTAACGAAGGGAGGGTGGTTAGCCCAGTGAAATTCATCTTAATTGAGGGGAGCAAAGGCGGATGAAAACAGGAGGGTAATCACAGTGCGAAAGCAGTGGAGATGTGCAAAGTAGTGAGGGATGTAGAAAGTGCACAGGATGGTGAGAACACGGTGTTGTTGAGCACAAGTTGAGTGGTGAACATTAGGGTTGAGCTTTGATGGTGAGCATAGAGGTTAGACAGTGAGCACAATGTTTTAGCACAGAGGAAGGTTGAACAAACAACGATGAGAACAGATGTTTGAGCAAAGTCGGGTTTGCCTTGGGGTGAATGAGTAAAGGATGGGTGAGGACCTTGCGGGAGTGTTGAGAACAGATGAGGAAGGCGAGAGGCTGAATACTTGGAGGTGAACACAGGTGGGGGCATCATAGTGAGGCGACGACAGGTAGATGAGCACAGTGCGGCTAAGGAGACGAGGGCGAGTAGAGTAGGGGGAGTACAGTTGTGGGGTACATGGTTGGAGCTCACGGTGAGGAGTAACGAGACTGGCACAGAATGTGTGAGCACCAGACTGTACAAAATTACTAGTGCTGAATACAAGAAGGCGTGATCTCTTGGGGCTGGGCTGATAATATTTGTTGGGCTCAGGGGAGGGGGAGAACTGAGAACAGAGGAAGGGCTGAGTACCGGCGGAGCGGAGCACAGTGGCAGGGGAGAGCGCTGCAGGAGGGCTAATAAGAGGGATCGGCTGAGTACAGTGGGCGTGTTAGTGCGCTGAGCAATGGGGGCGGAGGGGAGGAGGTCTGAGGGCAGGGGGAGGGGATCATCATAGTGAAGGGACTGAGCACAGAGACAGGGACTGAGCATAGGGTAGGGACTGTGCACAGGGCGAGTGTCTGAGTCCAGCTTACGGGCCGAGCCGTGTGGCGTGGCTGAGCCCACAGGACGCACTGTTCACAGTGGAACGATTGAACACAGAAAGAGGGTCTGAGTACACTGGAAGGTTAATCGAAGCAGTAGCGTCTTAAGATAGGGAGAATGGCGGAGTCTGATATAGAAGAAGAGGAGTGAGGAGAGCTAACCACATGTGGGTGAGCATAAGGGCTGAGCACAGGGAGAATGGCGGAGCCTCACGTAGAACCCCACGAGTGGGGTGGGTTAAGCACCGTTGGATGTGTATTGGGGCTGAACACCGTGGGTCATGAGACCAGGGGAATGAACAATTTGGCGGAGAACAGTGGGTGGGGCCTATTGGGAGAAGCAAATTGGATGCTCAGTGGATGAACACAGATGGTGTGCGTAGGTAACGAGGGTTGAGCACAGAGGCGTGAGCTCATTGTGATGAGCACAGTTGGACGGGCCAAGCACAGGGGATGTCCCGAGAACAGTGCAGGAGCTGAGCACACTGGGTGGGGCTGAGCACAGGGGCGAGCTGAACACACGGGCAGGGGCTGAGCACAAGGGGAGACGGTCAGCACAGGGGGAGGGGCAGAGCACATGGTAAGGGGGTGAGCACAGAAGGGAGAGCTGAGCACAGTTGCAGAATTTGAGCTGATTGGCGGGATGTCTGATCACAGGGTGAGGGGCTGGGCACAGTTTGAGCGGCTGGTCACACGGGGTGTCAATTCCCTGCTTCCATTGATTTGTGACTATTCATAGACTAACAGTGACGTACTCAGTTCCTTACACAAACACCAACAAGTGACCAGCGCTGTTCATATTATGTCGGGAGGAAGTCCCAATGTGCTGAATATCCCCAAAACAAGAGCAGTTTAAACCAATGACAAATAATGAGTATTAATTGGAGAAAAACACAGGCCCCGCAAACAGCCGTGAAATTAATGATTAAATTAAATTTCAAATTATTTTGGAGATTCTTGACCAAGTCACCAATAAAAATTCGCTTCTGGTTTTTAACATTGCCACGAGATCTGCTACCTCCAAATAAACAGGCAGTCGTGGGAATGGACAAGACCCCGAGCTCACAGAAAGCCTGACCCTAACATCAGAGAAAATTGATTAGTTGCAGCGTCTAATGAAGACGCACATTAAGAACAGTCAGCTATTTGGCCTCGTATTAAACCTCAACAAGAAAATATCTCACAGGCTGAGACTGGTCTCATTGTCTACCCTGAAACTCACTGTCATAGTAAAGATCAGAGAGAACGCTTGTGAGATTTTCTTAATTGTGTTTTAATTTCAGATCCGCTAGCGAAACCCATCATATCCCTAACGCCAGATTACCGGGTGTTTGTGAGAGGGGAAAGCGCTCAGATCTCTTGTTCTGGGAATTATCCTGGCAGCAAATTCTCTTTGTACAGTAGCGACAAGTTTATCACATCACAAACAGCTCCAGAGAATAAGAAAACGGCAACATTTACCCTATCAGAGATCAGTGCAGGAATTTACTGGTGTAATTACAGTACGTACATGGGCGGAAGAGAGTTCATATCCCCAGACAGCGAGGAAGTGCACATCTCTGTATGGGGTAAGAGCTGAGTAAAATTTCAGACCATAACCTGTTTCTGTTTCCGTCACAATTCTGTGAAATCATTGTTCGCTGCCCCTGGTTTATAATGGCGTCTATCACAGGTCCACTCCGCACTCCCACCCTCATAATGGAACCCCCACCCACACACACATCATCATTCATGTTCCAACCGCTCAGTGATACAAATTTCCATTCATTCTTCACTCTCTCCCCCACTTGCTCCCAAATCTTCTATTCCCCGTCGCCTCATCCCTTATATTCCTCATCCAATTTACCTTCTCGTTCTCCCTACCACACCCTCTATTTTTCTCACAAACTCACTCCGACTTCCTCCCAAAAGCTCACTCCCCCCCATACCTTTCATTGGCTTCTCCCTCATGTGCATCTCGGGCTTCCTCTTGAAAGTGTCTATACTGTCCTGGGACCCTAAACTCTAAAGCGCATTGAGACACCATCCGGTGTGTAGGGCGCTATATAAATACAAGATGTTGTTGTTTTTGTTGAATTTAATCCCGCTTAAGGCCATAATTACCACCATCTCACTCCCCTGTGTTACGTCTGCTTCTAAATGTTCCGCTTCATCCCCTGCATGTGATCTTACCCTGTAGTTTAAAACACGTCTGAATGTCACATGAGAGTTTCAGACTGAATTCCCGGTATTCCGTCCTTCGCTGTTGCTGTGTATTACCGCAATCCACGGCCACACTGCCCCCCATGGCCATCACGGTCCCAGCCGTTGCTCTCTCTCCTTATGTGTATAGAAACACTTGACGGGGTCTGTCCTGAACTTTCCCCTCAAATCCTTCCCATCAAGCCACATCCAGAAGGAGAAAGAAGCAAATGGTCACTCTTATTCGACATGAACTGTTTTCGTGTCAATGACAGTGTGGTTGTGAGAATAACTTTATTGTGTTTTAGTTTCAGGTCCGCTAAAGAACCCATCATATCGCTGACGTCAGGATACCGGTGTTTGTGAGCGGGGAAAGCGCTCAGATCTCTTGTTCTGGGAATTATCCTGGCAGCAAATTCTCTTTGTACAGAAGTGACAAGTTTATCACATCACAACCAGTTCCAGAGAATAAGAAAACGGCAACATTTACCCTATCGGAGATCAGTGCAGGAACTTACTGGTGTAATTATAGTACACACATGGGCGGAAGAGAGTTCATATCCCCAGACAGCGAGCAAGTGCGCATCTCTGTATGGGGTAAGAGCTGAGTAATATTTCAGATTATAACTTGTTTCTGTTTCCCTCACGATTCTGTGAAATCATTGTTCGCTGCCCCTGGTTTATATTAGCCTCGATCACAGGTCCACTCCCAACTCCCACCCTCACACTCGACCCCCGACCTACACACATGCATCTTCATTCATGTTCCAACCGCTCAGTGACACAAATTTCCATCCATTTTTCACTCTCTCCCCCACTTGCTCCCAAACCTTCTATTCCCCGTCGCCTCATAAATTATATTCCTCATCCCAATTTACCTTCTAGTTCTCCCCCCCCCCACACCATCTATGTTTCCCGCAAACTCACTCCGACTTCCTCCCAAAAGCTCACTCCCCTCCATAACTTTCATTGACTTCTCCCTCATATGCAGCTCTGGCTTCCTCTTGAAAGTGTTTATCTGGGATCCTGAACTCCAAAGCGCTCTGAGACGTCGTCCGTCGTGGAGTGCGCCATATAAATCCAAGATGTTGTTTTCGTTGAATTCACTCACGGTTTAGGCCATGATTACCACCATCTCACTGCCCTCTGTTAAGTTTGCTCCTGAATTTTGCGTTTGATCCCCTGCATGTGATCCTACCCTGTAGTTTAAAACACGTCTGAATGTCACATGAGAGTTTCAGACTGAATTCCCTGTATACCATCCTTTGTTGTAGCTGTGTATTACCGCAATCCACGGCCACACTGCCCCCCATGGCCATCACGATCCCAGCCGTTGCTCCCTCTCCTTCTGTGTAACGAAACACTTGACGGGGTCTGTCCTGAACTTGCCCCTAAAATCCTTCCCTTGAAGCCACGTCCAGACGGGGAAAGAAGCAAATGGTCACTTTTATCTGACATGAACCGTTTCCGTGTCAAAGAGAGTGTGTTTGTGAGATTATTTTTATTGTGTTTTAACTCAGATTCGTTCCACAAAGCCGCCATTTCCCTGAAGCCAGATTCCCGGGTGTTTGTGAGAGCGGAAAGCGCTGAGATCTCGTGTTCCGCCACATCCTCACTTTTCTTAATATAATCCTAGTATTATGCAGCAAAATGGAGCCCATTCGGCCTGTCGTGCCTCTGCCGGTTCTTCGGAACTAGCTAGTCCTTTCAATCCCACTCGCCAGCGCGCTTCCTACAACCTTGGAAACTGGTCGTTCCAAAATAATTATCTTCCTTTACTCGCTTTGTTACACGAGTTTCTTTGCGTTACTCACTTCTTCTCATTCACTCCCTCGCACACACAACCTTCCTCACACTGACGGCCTCCCAGAACCTCTATTTCATCCTCCATCCCACTCCTTGATACCCTTCCACAACCTGATACCCTCCCACAACCTCATTTCCTCCGAACTACTCTTCTACTCCCTTTTCCTCCCTCCCACCCCCTCACACTTTACCATTCCTTCTACACCTTTCTCTCTCATTGCATCCCACACCCCGTTCTCTTCAAAATCGTCTACTCCCATTTCACACATGTGAAGGTCTCACACGGTCTTGAATGTATCTAGATTATTTGATTCAATCCTCGCTTCAGACAGCGAGATCAACAATCTCTAATTCCTGCGTGAGAACTCCATACACCTCAATTCTCTTTTTGATTACTTTTTTGTGATCTGGTTCTGTTGTTTAAAACTTGGCTGAAGATCACAAGATCAGTTCAGATTAAATTCGCGACATCCCGTGAGGTTGGAGCGCGATGTTCCCCAGTTCCCGGCATCATTGGCCACCATGTCCACTCCGCTCTCAGCCGTTGCTCCCGCTCACTATGTGTAATTTAGTACTTGCTGGAGTCTGTAGTAAAACTGCTCGACCAACCCGCCACCTGCTCCGGTCTCCTGCTCCATGCGGGGAAACAAATAATGGACACTTTTACTCTGACTTGAACCGTGATATGTGTTGCAGAGCGAGTGTTTGTGAGATTATCTTCACTTTGTTTTAATTCCAGATCCGCTCCAGAAACCGAAAGTTTCCCTGAATCCAGATTTCCAGGAGTTTGCGAGAGGGGAGAGCGTTGAGATCTCTTGTTCTGGGAATTATCCTGGCAGCAGTTTCTTTTTACACAGAGACGGCGAGCTTCTCACATCACAAGCGGGTCCAGAGAATAACAAAACAGCAACATTCACCTCAATGGAGATCAGTGCAGGAAATTACACCTGTAAATATACTAAAGTAATAGACGGCCGAGAGTTCACATCACCAGAAAGCGAAGCAGCGGGAATCTCTGTGATAGGTAGGAGCTGAGTAAATTCTCAAACAATAACCTGTTTGTCTTTTGACCATTTACAACAGCTCCTGTGATAAGCAGTCTTTACACGTTCGATCATGTTTCCCTATTATCTTCTGGTGACCCATTTTTACCACTTTATCCATCCCCACACATTCCACTGCACCCATTCTCCCACTCTTTAGCCCCTCACCCTTCACTCGCCCTCCCGCCTCTCTCCCACAGTCTCCCCCCCCCATACGTTCTGCCACTTTTCAACCCTCTCTCCCGTCTACCCCATCTTCGTTGCCTCTCCCCGCTCTCATCCATCACGCCCCATTCTCTTTCACTCTCTCACTCATCTACAGAAACCACCCCACTCTGCCTCATTCTCTTCCTCATCTCTGCCACCTCTTTGCATCCTATCTGGCAACACGCTCTCACCATCGGTCTCCCCACACTCTCTTACCACCCTATTCTCCCAGACTCCTTTTCATCTTCCTCCACGTTCTCGCTGTCCACATTACCCACGTTGCTCCTCCTTTTCACCCATTTCCCCTCCAGTCAACCCTCCCACCGCACCCAAAACCTTCCTGATTGTGCAGATAGCTTCCTATTGATATGGCTACTGGCAAGCTTTCCCGCCATTTGTCCATCGAGCATCACATTAACTGCCAGCGCTACAGTTTGCAGGGTTAACAGGAGCAGAGTGCGATGCGCTGCAGATGAGCCCGACTGGTATCTGCTGCATCATCCATGCCCTGGAATACTGCGAACTAACTTGGCTCAGGAACTTGTGTAGAGAACAATCGCCGTGGAATTCATTCTGATATTCCGCTGTCAAACTCATCTCATTGTGTCCTGTTCAGCTGCTGTTACTTACTTCAAAACCCTGCAGTAATTCTCCCTCATTTGAATGTTTTACTATATCTTGAATGTATCCAGCCTAGCTGATTCAATCCTAGCTTCAAACAGCGATTTCCACCATCTTTGCTGAAAAACATGCGAGAGGTTCATACTGAATTCCCGTCCTGCCATCCAAGGCTGAAACTGTCTGTTTCCCCATCTCCGCCCTCCCTGGCCACGCCACTTGCAGCCGTTGCTCCCCCTCCCTCTGTGTAAAGAAATACTAACCAGATTCTGTATTGTACCTGTCCCTTAACTCCTCCCCCACGCCTTGACGCCTCTTCCAGACTGAGAAACAAGCAAATGGTCACTTTTGCTCTGACCTGTACTGTTTTCATGCCACAGAGCGAGCCTTTGTGAGATTATCTTTAATGTGTTTTCATTCCAGATCCGCTCCAGAAACCCAACATTTCCCTGAAGCCGGATACCAGGTGTTTGCCAGAGGAGAACGCGCTGAGATTTCGTGCACTGGGAATTATCCTGGTAGCAATTTCACTTTATACAGAAACGGCGAGTTTATCATATCACAAACAGCAACAGAGAATACATACACGGCCACTTTTACCCCATCGGAGATCACAGCAGGAAATTACACGTGCATATATGCTACATATACTGACAGACGACAGTTCACATCACCAGAGAGCGAGAGATTAGGAATACCTGTGCGTGGTAAGGGCTGAGTATAATCTTCCAATATTATCTGTTTGCATTTTGACCACTGACAGCAGCTTCTGTTGTAACCACACTTTACACCATCGATCATACTTCCATGATACCTCCTAGTGTTGGCTAGAGTGTTTGAGATTGGGCGGATGTGTTCCCCCGCGATAAAGCAGTTTCAAAACCAAACTCCCGAGTGATCCTCACATGGCTGACAGGATGTAAACTCTCCGTCCTTTCCAGTTAGAAAGACGCTATTACTGAACCTCTCTTTCGTCACATTATAATGTGTTTTTATTCTGTGAGACAAGAATTGGTGACCCCAGAAATTTCTGCTAAATGTTGGTGTTATTTAACCAACTACATCACATAGCTTATCATTAATAGCAACGTGGTACACAAACACTTCCTCTCTGGCGAGGAACACCCGCTCAGGTTGAATGCAGTATTAAAGCCAATTGGAAGAATCCCGGCTCCGAGAGACCAATCTTCCTCGCAACTTCTTGTCGACGAGCCAGGCATGAGTGTAGTTTCAATATCAACGCCCTGGAATACAGCAGACCCGTCCGGCTCAGTGAGCCGACTGGATACCACTATCAAATTTGGACTCGTTTCCGAACTACCGCTGGTTGACGGATCACCGTGCATCATGCAAAGAGACCCTACTAATCTCCCACTCCCTTGGGTCAGGGGAGGCTTTTCTCTTGAGGACAGAATATGGGAACGAGATCTATTTTCTTTGGAACAGCGAAATGTTTACTTTTCATTGTTCCATCACATCAGGAGGA